ACATTTAAGCTGAGTATTTGCACTAATTAACTGTAGGGAAACCTAGTAGCGTGTGTCTGTGGAGGTGTTTGGAGAAAATGAATAGTTATCTCTTTGTTATGCTCATCTGTGCCAGCCTCCTTTCTCCTGACATTTAAAGTCCATTGCTATGCTTGGCCTGCCCTGCACTGAAGAAAAATGCTCTGATATCACTTGTCATTTAGTCAGGCAAACTCAGCAATTTAACATCTCTAATCTCAAAGAGTTTCATATCAGAGAGTTACTTATTTCCCTCTTTTATCCTCCAAAATCCTACTGCAGTATACAGATGAGGCTTTGACTGTCTCGGTTTCATAATCTATGTTCTGAAAGTGACTAAATGTGTTTCTACATAGGGTGTCCTAGTGAGTGACAATCATGGACACCACAACCTCAATCAAGATGACCACTCTGGCCATCCAGAACCTCTTCAGCTACGTGGAAGAAGAGAATCTGGCAGCTGTTAAAGCCCATCTTGACAAGTTCAAAGAGGTGGATGGTCGAAGCGATGTAAGTTACATATAAAAAAAGTCAAACATAATTTAAGATGATCAAGTAAAAATGTAGGAATATCAAATATCCATCTTTCTCATTGTTTTTTTTTTTTGACAGAATGGACAGACTCCTCTGATGTTGGCCTCAGAGCAGGGCAGTCTTGAGATTGTTCAAGAACTCATCAGAAGGGGCGCAAATGTCAATTTGGATGATGTGGTGAGAAAATGCCCACTTTAGATTTACAAAAAAAAATGCTTTCCATTTAAACAGGTATTCATATAACATTTACCAACCAAAAGTGGAACAGACATTTTCGATGCTTGATATAATTTTTGGATGGCCACTTATCAGTAACTTATTAACATGTTCCTATAAGAAAATAAGGAATAAATAGATAGGACAGCTACTCTGTGCTATAATTAAATATATGTGTGTGTGTGTGTGTGTGTGTATTTATTTATATAAAATCATTACAGTGAATTTGGTTAATTGTGAAATTGAGATACTTTTCAGAATTTTGTAGTATTTGGTGCCGTATGTCTCTTTTGCTATATTTTCAGGTTTTAATTAGATTTGAATCCCATTGGGAACCTCTCTGCATTCATGTGCAATATTTTTGTCATATATTTAAAACCTGTATAAGGAAGGTGTGGTGTCCATTATAATTGTGCCATAGGGCTTTTCTTTCTAGTACAGCTCCTGCACACTCCATCACTGTTCCCATGGCGACATTAGCCAGTGGTTCAGTGGTTTCCATAGTGACCTGTCTCTGTGCTTTTCCCTGATAGGACTGCTGGTCCGCTCTGATCTCTGCAGCTAAGGAGGGGCACGTGGAGGTGGTGAAAGAGCTGCTGGAAAACAGTGCTTATATTGAGCACAGAGATATGGTAAGAAAATCTAATTGCAAACATTTGTATCAAACGCAATACGTGTCCTTTATTTTGTACAATAATCACATTTGGAAAAGAAACACATTCTTATGTAATTATCAAAACTTAGTGAGGTGGCTTTGTGTCATGCAGGGGGGTTGGACTGCCCTTACTTGGGCTTCATATAAAGGTAGAGTTGAGGTGGCCACGGTCCTGCTTGAGACTGGGGCAAACCCAAACACCACTGGACAGGTAAAACTTGCATATGGTGTAAGCACATACAAATCAAATAAAATCAATATTGAATCCAAATAGTGCCAGATTAATATATGCAATCATTGAATACAAT